ACTTTCAAAATTAACAATTCATATACGTAAATATGTCCCTTTTATGCCTGTTTATGTACAAGAAATTTATTTAAAATAATACATATTTATTATATTTTGTTCCGTTATGTAATTTTTCATGAAAAATAAAACAAAAATAAATAAAATCCAATATTTTATGTGTATTATTTGAATTTAAACATACAAAATGTGTTGTTCAATAATACGAATTTTTCGGTATTACGAAAGGGCCTGACACTATATAATTCGTACTAGTGGACGTCCACTGTATATTCATAAAGTAATTTTCTGTGATTTTAAGTTGGTTGTTTTAGTTTTAATAAAAATGTCTTCGAAAATTCGTACGAGAGAGTATGACAGTAGAGGAAATTTAAATAGAGTCGTTCATATTTTTTAATATTGAATCGTGTTAGAGAAATGTCAGAGAATTTCCAGGAGTGTGGTGCTAACTAAAACGTTCCACAGTGGATAGAATAAAAATATATATCCATATAGATAATCTATATCCATGTATGTATCTATCTATCTATCTATCTATATAATATATATATATATATATATATATATATATATATATTTATTGGTACAGGTTTAAAAATGCGGTAATTTAAGGCCCCGATATGGTTGCAAATAACTTTTATAGTTTTCATGTTATAACAGTCGTTTATACATCTTTTTATTGCATTTTAGTTGCCATTTGTTTTGGTATATAATATATTGCATAATGTATTTTTAGAAGATGGCCAATTGGATAGATCGATAGAATTATTTTCCCAGGTTTAAAAAGGCGGTAATTTGAGGTTCCGATATGGTTGTGAATTACTTTGACAGTTTTCATGCTATGACAGTCATTTATGCATCTGTTTAGATCATTATGATTGCACTTTAATTTGGTATATCATTTGTGGCATAATGTGTTCGTCTAAAAAATGGTCAATTTGATGGATCGGTAGAATTATTGTTCTATGTTTAAAAACGCGGTAATTTGAGGTTCCGATATGGTAGCAAATAACTTTGACAGTTTTCATGCTATGACAGTCATTTATGCATCATTTTAAAGCATTATGATTGCACTTTAATATGGTATATAATTTGTAGCATAATGTGTGTTTTTACAAATTGGTCAATTTGATAGATCGGTAGAATTATTGTTCTATGTTTAATAAAAGCAGTAATCTGAGGTTCCGATATGGTTGCAATTAACTTTGGCAGTTTTCGTGCTAGGACAGTCGTTTATGCACCATTTTAAAGCATTATCGGTAGAATTATTTTCACAGCTTTAAAAAGGCGGTAGTTTGAGGTTCCGATATGGCTATCTATCTATCTATCTATCTATCTATCTATCTATCTATCTATCTATCTATCTATCTATCTATCTATCTATCTATCTATCTATCTATCTATCTATCTATCTATCTATCTATCTATCTATCTATCTATCTATCTATCTATCTATCTATCTATCTATCTATCTATCTATCTATCTATCTATCTATCTATCTATCTATCTATCTATCTATCTATCTATCTATCTATCTATCTATCTATCTATCTATCTATCTATCTATCTATCTATCTATCTATCTATCTATCTATCTATCTATCTATCTATCTATCTATCTATCTATCTATCTATCTATCTATCTATCTATCTATCTATCTATCTATCTATCTATCTATCTATCTATCTATCTATCTATCTATCGATCTATCTATCTATCTATCTATCTATCTATCTATCTATCTATCTATCTATCTCTTTTTTTTTTTTGTGTGTGAGGCAGGTGTAAAAATCTTTCATGAGATACCTGTAGTACTGCACTAACAGATTATGTCGGATTCCTACCGTCATCAAATACCCTGCCGAACTGTCTATAACGATATTACATCGCAGGGTTTGATAGGCTTATGTAGCCTCTGTCATGTTGGCTTGCGAAATTTTCCTTCTATCTTCCTCCAATCGTAGTTGCTTGTGTATGCTGGATATCATAATGCATATAGCTTCCCAATTCTCGTTTTTTCTTATTACGGCATTAATTATGTTCTCGACATTAAGTGTCTCGCCAACTGTTTCCACCGTACGTTGTCGTATTTCTGCAAATCTGGGACAATGGAACATTACGTGTTCTGGGTCTTCAGTTTCATTGGGGCAGCAGGGACACATCGGAGATGCATCTAGTCCAAATCTATGTAGGTAACTCCTATATCCTCCGTGACTGACAGGAACTGTGAGAGGTAATAATTGGTCTCGCCATGTTTTCTACTTAGCCAGTTCGTGATGTTTGGTATCAGTCGATATGTCCATCTTCCCTTTAAGATTTCTTCCCAACGGATCTGCCATATTCTTAGCGACGTTTCCCTTTCCATTTTCTGTATGATACCTAGGTGTCTAGTTTAGTCTAGCGTCTATCATGACCCCCAAGTATTTAAGGCAAAGTTTGGACATCACCTCGCAGTTTCCGACTCTTATTTTGATGTTTTCAAGTCTTCTTCGACTTGTAATCAGAACTACCTCCGTTTTATGCTCAGATAGCTTGGAATGCCGAGTCTGCCGAGTGATTTGATTATAAGCTCCCAATTAGCTGAATTGAAGGCATTTTTAACATCCAAAGTTATCACAGCGCAATATTTTTTACATGCTCCTTTACCTCTAATGGCTTTTTATATAAATAAATAAGTTTCTCCAGTATCTATCCTACTGTATCCAATAAACATATTGGTCTGTAAGATGCGGGTTCTCCAGAGGGTTTGTTAGGTTTTGGAATTAGCAGTAGCGTTTGTTTTTTCCACTAATCAGGAAAAATACCTTCTTGAAGACACTGGTCGAAAGTGTTGATGAATACACTTGGACTTTTCATAACTGCCAATTTCAAAGCGCTGTTTGGGATGTTATCCGGTCCCGGGGCTTTTTGATCTCCTTTTCCTTTCGCTATTTGCATTATTTCTTCTTCTGATATTGGCGGTATATTCTCCGTTCTACCTTCGATATCAATGTGTTCTCTTTATTGATGTTGAGGAAACAACGTTCCGACTATTTTCTCCAGAAGTTGCGGGCATGTGGGCTGTGGGGATTTTTTCCCTTTCAGACTAGAAGTAACCACCCTATATGCCTTACCCCATGGGTTTGTGTCTGTTTCCTTACATATTTCTTTAAAACATTTTCTCTTGCTTTGTATAATAGCGTGCTGAAAATCAAGTCTAGCTTTTTTATATTTTCGAGAGAGTTCTTCGAAATTACCATTGCGTCTTGCCCGTTGGGCTCGTCTTCTGGTTCTTAAGCATATAGTCCGTAATTTGCCTATTTCTTGGTTCCACCAATAGTTTGATTGTCGGCTTTCCATTATCCTCCGTTTTGGCATTGCAGCATCGCAGGCTCTTTTCAGTTTAGCTGTTATTTGATTCGCTTTATCGACGGCAGTTCCATGTATTTCGGTTTCCTCTGAAAAAACCAAAGCAAAGACTTCTTTATCTATCTATCTATCTATCTATCTATCTATCTATCTATCTATCTATCTATCTATCTATCTATCTATCTATCTATCTATCTATCTATCTATCTATCTATCTATCTATCTATCTATCTATCTATCTATCTATCTATCTATCTGTCTATCTCATACATGGGAATTTTTCATTAAGTATTAAAATTTCATTACCATTTATAGAAAAAATTGTAATGAAAAATATTTTAAGTACCATTTAATGAAAATTATATTTTTTTCATTATAACTTTTTTTGATAATGGTAATGAATTTGATAATGAATTTTCAAAAACGAATTTAATTAGTATTTATAATTGTCGAAAAATATATTAAGGAAAATTTTTAGAAGATTCGAGGTTTGAAAGCTTTTAAAACCAGTTCCCGTAGCCCAAATTGGCTGAAATTTTGCAGTCATAAGTACATCTGATGACAAGACAATAATATGTTCAAATATTCGAAATTAAGTTCAAAAATTCGAAGTTATTTTCGAAATTTTTTTTATGTTTTTAAATTAATCTCTGTGTCATAAAACCTAAAAAAAAATTTCGAAAATTCGAACTCGTGTTCGAAAAATTTTTAAAGCTGTTAAAACTAGTTCTTCTAGTCCGAATGTGCTGAAATTTGGCATACATGATTTCACCTAATGACAATACATTATAATGTTCGGATATTCGAAATTAATTTCGAAATTCGAACTAATGTTCGAACATTTTTAAAATCCATTGAATAATGGTAATGAAAATTTATTTTTAAATAATTACTAATGAAATCGTTTCATTAAAAACCATTACCATTAGACAAAATAATGCTAATGAAAAAAAAAATAATTATAATTTTTTTCAATGTAATGCTAATGAAAACGTCAATTAATTAGTCGATATAATTAACTACTCCCATGTATGGTCTATCTATCTATCTATTTATCTATCTATCTATCTATCTATCTATCTATCTATCTATCTATCTATCTATCTATCTATCTATCTATCTATCTATCTATCTATCTATCTATCTATCTATCTATCTATCTATCTATCTATCCACCTACCTATGTATCTCTCTATGTCCTCCAAAACGAGATTAATTGTATAAACATATTCATATCGGATTTTTCACTGTATCATTCATTCAGCAACTGGGAGCCTTCGAATTTGTCGAAACCAAACTTATGACATGCCCATTTTCTTATCTCCCACACTGTAAGGAAACATTTCTTTTTTTACTAATTTAATTTCAATAAAGATTAAAACTTAAAAAAATAATAAAAACACAAGAAAATAAAAATTATTGTGCAAGTAGCTTGTAGAATCTAGAGTTTTCTTCTTATACTCCAACACTTTATATCAAAATAAAAACAACAACAAAAAACAATAATATGGTGACTAGAGCCTCTACGCGCTCGGATTTTTTATCCGTTAATTTTGTATCAAACAACCACAACAACAGCAATATATACAAAAACAAATTCTCTGGAGAATTTTTTTCAAGAAACACAAAAACTCACAATTCAAATTACTCGTAGTTTGCAGTTGATATTCTGGGTGACATGACGTTTTCATTAGAATAGAAATTAATTAAATTACAAAAATTAATAAGTAATTAGCAAATCTAAAACGGAAACCGGAAGTGTTGTCTTAAAAAAAAAAACTAATAAACAACTAAAAAATATTAACTCTAAACAAACAACATGGATTCGCGAATATTAACGTTACTGGTGTTTTTATTTATGACCACATTTTGCCTAGATTTTACACAATCTTGGATGAAATTCAACAGTTTTACATCTAAAAAACGTACAGATTTGAAAAAAAGGTGTCCTAATGTAAGTGTCTTTTAGTTTGCAACAGAAATAGAAAAAAAATAAATACAAAATTAAAAAATAACAGCAAAACTCGATTAGCGATTCATAGTGTTGTGTGAAAAAACGTAAAATAAAAATAGTTTGTTATTGAAAATAGAAAGTGTGTGTGCAGTTTTAAAGTGTTCTCGATTTATGGTTTTTTTCTGAGGTTTTTTTTTTTTTTGAACTAAACAAAAAATCTTTCTCTAATAAATCAATTCGTAAATAGTATATTAAAAACGTACAGAGGAGCAAAAACTTTCTTCATCATCAGCTACGTCATCAACAAACATCATGATGATGATCATCTTTAAACCACATTGTAAAATAGTCATATCCATCAATGTTCGCATTCTAAGCACTTGTAAAATAAAGTATATAAAAAAATACATAAATTTTGTAAAAATTTATGAAACAAATAAGAGTGTTTATTATAGTCGTCTAAGCCGAATTTTATTCACCTTCGGTTTTTTGCACCTAAATCGTGTTTTTATATCCCTCTCAAAAGTAAGGATCAAGTATACCTGTATGTATAAACTAATGTGGAACTACCACCAACACATCAATTTGTTAGAAACAAAATCAATATAAACTTATATTAATTAAGGGAGAGAAGTCTTAAAAATGTTGTGACGGATCTTATTGGACCTGAATTCTGTAACGATGAAATATTGAAAGATCGGTCAATTAATCCGATGTGACTAAATGTGCTAAGTGAGGAAGTGTTGTCAAGCTTGAGGTTAAGTTTTAAACTTAGGCGCCTCGTAGAACCACCTTGATCTATCTTGTCCCAAAATGGGTCCACTGAGTAATTTTCACAATTATTTGCGAAGAAGTTCACGCTCTGAAACTCTCTAGTGTAGGGTGTTAGAATGAATTAAAAGATACCATAACAAACAGTAGCAAAACAGACACCTAAATATTCGAGATAGAAAACAGATTTTTAAATTCTATTTTTTTATTTTTTCATTAATTTCAAATACTAGTACTACTCGTTTATAGTATTTTGTCAGCTGCGAAAAAAATTAAATTAAATGAAATAAGGAAAGCAACAGCAGCAGTATTCCGATGATCGAGTCAGCAGCACCCCATAAAAATCTCATCAATATGCAACACTTGTGACAAACACGACATCACACACATTTATCAATCGTTGTTGTGTTTATAATACAATCACGGGAATAACAACAACAACATTATTATCATCATTGAAATATGTATGTATAGCAACAACAATAACAACAACTGCTAAAGAATATCAGATAAGAACACAACAACATATAAACAGCAGCATGATATCAGTTTTAACTTTGTTGTAGTTATATTCAATCTATTGAATATCGAAAAATACGGTTATTTTACACTAACAACAAAAATATTAAGAGAAACCTAGAACTTGGAATTTTACAAGAATTTGAATCAGATTAAAATATTTCTAAAATACTTCAGTTTTGACCTCAAGTGACTTGAACTTGTATTCACTTTATTTCAAATATTTAATACCAATATATTAATTCGTTGCTAGTGTAAATAGTTTATGAATAGAGGTCTTAATAAAATAAGAAATCATCTCAATAAGAATCAATCATCAGACTTTCTAAGTAATGAAAGGCTTTACATTGTTTCTTTTTCTGATTTTCTATATGTACATTATTTATGGTTCAGAAATAAGCTGGAGGGGATATTTGTGATAAGAATATTCATGTATGTACATATTTTATGTGTATAGAAATGTTTTTTTTCAAATTTCAAGGTCATAAAAATTAATCACAACAAATACTTACATATGTATATATGTATATGTACTTAACAGAGGCGTTAAGTAGTAAATGAGCGATATGTACACATATTCTGAATCCTTATTGACAGCAAAGTTAGTTATGGATACGCCATTGAAATGCTTCTCAAAGACCTTTCACACGATATTAGAATTTCATATACGGAAATATCCTTTGCATTTTCGTTGGGAACATCAGAACCTTCTTTTTACACCCTACACCACTATAGTGCGTTTGTGCTGATGTTTGTAATTCTCAAAAATATTGGTCCTATATCCACCTTAAAGTATACCGATATACTGAGTCGATTAAGCCATGCCCATCCGTCTGGCTGGCTGGCTTCCCTTGTAAAGATTATGAGCAAGGTACATATAGCAATTTGATGAAATTTGGCACATACGCTTTTTTGGCTAAAATCGGTCCATTTTTTCACTTAGCCCCTATACGACATAACTTTTAAGCTCACAATTATATTAAACGATAAAAAGCGGTAAAACAAAGTTTTATACAAGACTTGCTGACCTTGCCAAATTTCGTAATGATCGAGCTTTATTTGACCCTATCTCTTATACAAAGTCCCCTTCAGAAAATAAGTTGAATGTCCATACAACTGAAGTTTTGCGCTCATAATTGTGTTAAATGTACTTCATTACCTTTCTGAATTTCGTAATGATCGGGCTTAATTTGACCCTAGCTCCAATACAAATATGTACATACAAATTCAGAAAATAAGTGATGTACACAATTTACTTATACCCACCATCAAAATAGAAAATAGGGGTATATTGTTTTTGTCATTCCGTTTGTAACACATCGAAATATTAATCTAAGACCCATAAAAGTATATATATATTCTGGATCCTTATTAAATTCTAAGACGATCTAGCCATGTCCGTCCGTCTGTCCGTCTGTTGAAAACACGACAGAGTACAAACGGAAGCAGCTAGCGAGCTGAAATTTTATATTGATGCAGTTTGTTTGGTATTGAAAATGAGCAATATCAGTCCACGATTTCGAAATTCTACATAAACATATTTTATAGAACCTTAATATCATTGTAAAATTTTATAAGGATCGGTCCATAATTGACCCTATCCCCCATATAAGGCCCCCTTCAGAAAATATAAAGCCTCTTTCAGAAAATTTGTTTAAATTTTTTGTTTTAAATTACTTAAATATATCTGAACCAATGTTTTTATGAAACATAAATCGCATTTCTTAGTTGTTTACCTAGTTTAAGAAATAAACTAGGTCCTGCCAAAACGGAGTCGTTCGGACTTTTAAAGACAGTTTACGCATAGTAAACTACTACGTTAACCAACTCCATCCAAAGCAAATCTATTTTCTAAATCCCATATTCGTAAATGTTTAATAAAGTTTTTGATGGTTAATTGTAGGAAATTTTGTATGGAAAATGTGCGTAATAAACCTAAAATAGACTTTTAATATCTATTTCCATAGTTACACACAGGCTTAGAAAGAATTAATTCTATTGAATTGAAAGAAATAAAAACAAAAAATATTTTAAAAATATAAAATTTATTTTGTAATAGATTCATTTTTGATTATTTATTAGAATGGTTGACGCCAAAGAAAATAGTTGACGCTATTATTTAAAATAAATTTAAGTAATTAGATATAGACTTATTTTCCCACATAATTATTGTTATAACTCGCAATATTCATTTATAATAATATTTGCATGTATTTATAGCAGAGATGGGGGTAGTGCACTAAATTATTAGTTAAATCAATATTTAACTATCACTAAATATTATTTCAAAAAATATATTTTTCACTAATTTTATTTTTAGCACTAATATTTTTTAGTGATAATGTTATTTTTTTAACTATAACTCAATTGAGTGGTAGTGTAGAAAAAAGCACTACACTCAAATAGTTCAAAATTTGAACAGTCACTAACAAAAGGCTTCAATAATTTTCTTTGCACTATTTTTTTTATGAAAATGAAAGAATTTGTAAGACAATTAATGATTAAATTTTTTAAAAGGTACATCTATTAAAATGGAAAATACAGATTTTGTTAGCGATGGCACTATGATAGACCCTACATATGCAGTTACCCCAACAACATCTCATGCTTTAAAAAGAAATGGTTGAAACACCTAAATTCCAAAACTTTTGCCTTCTTCTGCTCAAGTATAACGATTTTTTCTTAGCGGAATGATGAACTCTCCTCGGAGAACTTAAACTTTCAAATGAATGAAACATTTCTCTGTTGAATAAAAATAGTGCAGGAATATTTTTTGAACTAATAATTTAGTGTAAAAAAAATTATTTCACTAGGCTGTAAAAACAAATATTTTAACTATTTTTAAAATATTTTTAGTTAAAAATTTTAAATATCACTATCACTATTATTGAATGAGGCTTATATTTTTCAATTCATCACTAAACATAAATAAAAGTAGTGAATAATTTTGAACTACCACTAATAATTAGTGATAGTTAAAAATGAGTGCGCTACCCCCATCTCTGATTTATAGATATTAATTAAAATACTCACAATATTATTTGAAATAAATTATAATAATTATAAGCAGTTTTATTTTCTTTTTAGCTAAAAATATATCGGAAATCATTTAACATGTAAATAAGTTCACATACATCGTTATTAAAATAATCCGTCAAATGTCAATCACATTCAATTTCATTCGAATCTATTGAATTTTTAATAAAATTTCATTATGAGAACCAAAATCGGCAAAAAAAAAATACTATATGAATTACTACATGTGTAATTAAGTTAAAAATGCATTTTATCGTTGCAGGTACGTGCTCAACGTAATTTCGATTTGGAAGCCATGATGGGCTGTTGGTATGTGGTGCAGTATTATGCATCAACGGAAGAATTACCAGAATACGCCTGCATGCGTAGTCACTTTACATTCACCAGTAATGATCAGCATGTAAGTAGAAAAATTATTGAATGAATATACGAGTAGTATGAGTGACAGACAGACTGAATGTGAACGTATGTTGTATGTGACTGGGTATACAAATCCTTAACTACACTATAACTCAAATACCCCAAAACCAATACAATCAACTGACCATACAACAAACCATCCATCCATCCATCTACCCATCCTGTTCAGCAGTCAACCTACAAGCCAAAAATAAAAAAAGTCGAAAAAATATCTTGAAAAAAGTCAACCAGCCTGCATACCAATACAATGCAATTACAATTTTTGGCGGAAAGTAAAGTAAAGAAACTGAAATCTACAAAATTTATTTAAGAACAAAAAGGAACAGGTTTCCGCCGCGCTCCAACCATACGTTGATGAAGACGATGATGATGATGACGACGATGATAAGAAACACAAGTGAAATTTTCGTACTGTCGTTTATTATCCCAGACATAACACAACTTTCACTTGACAAATACCAAAATAAAAATAATCAAAAGAAGAGGAAAACAACAACTTGGCAAAGTAAAAAAGTACTAGATGAGATGACTCTTGTTGATGGCTTAGACACAAACCAACTAAATAACCAACCGACCGACCAAACAGCCAGCCAGCCGGCCATCCATCTATCCCTACAAACAAACCAGCCATTCCACACAACAAAAAAAAGAAACAGTTAAAGAATGCATTTCTTTCACACAACCAGGGAGGGAGGTTTCTTTGGAAATTAGTATGTAAGTGGCCATTGGCATTTCTTTTCCAGGAAAGAAAAGGGTCATCTTCAATCTTATACTTCTTCATTTTCATCTTTGTCTTCGTCTACTTGCCAGTTTCATTTATGGATTACAACAATTTGCATTACAATGAAAAGCGAAAATGTGTGTGCGCCTGCTTTGCAACAATATGTACATACATACATACAAAACATACATACCTGCCACATAATATTCTGATTATCATCCGCCAGTTTTGGTCATGCAGTAAGAAAACATTTAAAATAAATGATGGTAGTTATAGTTGGGGTAAGCATTTGAAATGTTGACGATAATAATGTGACCAACTAGAATTTTATATGGACTAATGAACTGTTGTTAAAAATATTAAGATTTGAAAATATCATTTAAATTAATAATTAATGTGCACTATAGCTCGAAAACCACTAATGATATCCAAAAGCAGTCTTCATTTAAAATGTAGGAAATTTAATTATCTCTAAATACGCATACGACGCATTATAAAGGCATTTATAATTACTTTTAATACCTATTAATAGTTGGTAAGTAAAAGCTATGGGACAATTTTCATTTCAATATCTAAAATTTATTAAATTAAAAATCATCTTATATGTATATAGAACAAGTTAGATTGCTTCATTCGGCTGAGCCGAATCTTAAATACCCTCCACCAGCTACTTTTATATTAATACTTTTCTTATTGATCAAATATTTGTAGAAATAAGTTTTCTCATGTCTTAAATAGAAAAAATATTAAGATTTAAACAGCTTAAATCTATTACAATTCCAAGATTTATTGAACATTACAAACGCCATTTTCTTTATATGTATTTTTATAGCGCTTAGCGATATTTAGTAATTTGCATGTATGCGTGTGTGAAAGATTTAAGGATTTTCCAAATACATATATATAATTTTGTTCTACACAAATTGATAATGCTAATGATAACTAGTTAAATACGGTTAAAGCGCTTTTAGGGGCAGGACCTAGTATGGGAGATATGACCAATTATAGACCGATCGTAAAATATTCTTTAAGCAAAATTTCTGTACATAAAAGCTATATTTCAGTCAAATTTTGTATCAATATCGTAATTTAGTAATAAGTAATGTATGTTTATGTGATTTTCTGAAGGGAACCTTGTATGGGACCGACCGCACCCGTGTTATGAAGCGATCGTGAAAATTCTTGAAATAGAATTTTTGTATACAAAACTAATATTTGTGCTAAATTTTGTATCAATAGCTTTATTTGGTAATGAGTAATGTGCGTTTAAGAGATTTTCGTAAAAGGACCTTGTGTGTGAGCTATGACCAATTATATATACTAGAGTTCGCCCCGCGGCCGAAATTCGACCGGAACCATTGAAGTAAAGATTGCATACTTATACTGCAAAATAAAACCCTACTTTTATAGTCCAAATGTCTGAAAAAATTTATTTCAATTGCTATTATCAAAGCGTATAACTTGCTTTGATCAACGTATTCTTTTAGAAAATGTGATCAAATTTGGTTAAAATTCTGAAGGAAGTTTAAAATCTAAGTTCTAAAATTATTAATGCAACATATTTTTCAAAAATGTTTGAACTTTTTAAAAGCAAAAACAACGAACATTTCTCCTTTCGATTTATTATCCCCAACATAAATGTTCATAAAATCTATGCAAAACTTACAATATCATATATTCATTCCTTATGATATTTCCCTATGTTTAACAATCTGCCAATTCCTCCAGCAATCATCCATGCCCCTTGTCGTAAACAATGTCGAACCTGCCCACTACTATTCCTTTGTAACCTGTAATAATATTCAACCTATATCTCTATATCCCAGCAAAAAAAAAAAAAAAAAAAGAAAAGACCTACAGAAGGGATGATTATAACACATATTTCCGCAGAAGGTAGACTTGAAAAAGTACATTGCAAAATATGATCTAACAACATGTTATTCAAAATTCAATTTTTCAATTATTGCCATCGGGACTGTAAAATGATTTCATTCCGATCAAAAGTGGAATTATTTCCGTCTTTTTGTTTTTTGAATAAAGTGGAATGAAACCACTTTCAATTTTTAAAGTGGGATGTTTTAATTTTTTTTTAAGTTTTAATAAATATCTTTACTAAAATAACTCCATTTTAGATCGGAATGGGCATTTGGAACAGGGATATATATAGTATATATTATCTCTATAAGAAATAAATAAATTTTGCTGTCTTTAGTATAAAAAGTCCATCCTTCAGGTTTATGTTGTATAAATTCTCCCTTATAACACTCGATAAAGACTTCTTTCAGCTGACTTACTACTTATTTGGCTTAAATTTTAATGCATTTTAATCGAATTTAATAGTAGATATTCTATGAAGCTGTACTACTTATAGTCCTTTAAGCGAAGACCTTTTAATAGGCATTCTATTAGCTTTCGCATAGAAGTGCATAGGCAAGAGAGATTTTGCAACAGGGATAAATTCTTATATCTGGAGAATAAGACTTTAACGCCTCTTTACTTCAAAAGTTTGTCCATGATTTAGTTATTATTTAATTTTTCATAATTATTTAAGTACTTCATAAGAAATGTTTGAAAGAAAACGTTAATAAACTATAAATTCCATCCTTAATTAACATATGTAAGTTTAATTGCAAGTAAAAGAATAATAAACGATAAATTGCTAAAGGTGGTATTAGACGACATGTATTTTACCCTAATATCACCTTAAGTAGGGGCAGCCATCAACCCAGAACACATGATTTGTATTTGACCCGTTTCATTTTTCTAAACATATAATACATATTTCTATAACCGCCTTTTTCCTAATTGGTAAGAATAACCCAAAAAAGAAGAATATCATCAAATCCTCACTGTGCTAAACCTACGTATTTGCGATATACTGATTCATTCATGTACCGACATGACCAACTAAACTATCCTACTTACATATATTTTAACAGGCTTTGTTTTTGTCCATCATTAAAATCTTAAAAATCAATAAAAACTAACATTTATGCAGAATTGTTGTCCCACCAATGTTTTCCCATCATCCTCTTGTATCTTACTTCATTAATATAATAACATATCACTATTACATTAAAAAATTATCACTTTACACTTTTAAAAAATAAAAAACAATAAAATCATATTTTCGCTTTGCCTAAGCCCGTCTGTATACTTATTAGTTTACAAAAATCTTATTAAAAACAACAACAAAAAATATCATTGCAATTTGCAAAATACAAAAATATAAACCATCAACAGAGAAGTAACATGTTTTTACACTCTCCTCTCTTTTTTCTATAATGAAAAAATTCAGTGTTGTTGTTTTGCATTCTTATTTTGTTTTCTATTTTTTAATTCAAGCACATGTTTGTGTGATTGTGTATTGGTAGAAACTTTAAACGCTTATATTTCCGAAAATACTGCACCAATTTTGATCATATATAGATTCTGCAGTGAGGCTCGAGAATCTGCATTCATCAAAAAAAGAATCAAGAAAATCGGTCAAGTAATAGAGCCGGAAAATGTTCCCAATCGTTTTGGCTTTGCGTATTTATATATATGATGATAAAGACAAAATTTAAAAATTCTGTATCTATATCATTATTTGGTAATGAATAGTGATTTTCATTTTCATTTAAGTGATTTTCTGGAGAGCTATGACCAAATATGGACAGATCGCGGGCGGGGACCTTGTATGGGAGCTATGACCAATTATGAACCGATCGGAAAAAAATTTCGTAGTAATATTTCTGTATATAAGAGCAATACTTGTACCAAATTTTATATGGATATCTTCATTTACTAATGAGTTATGTGGTTTTAAGTGATTTTCGGGAGGGGACCTTGTATGGGAGCTATGACCAATTATGGACCGATCGGAAAAAAAATTTCATAGTAATATTTCTGTATATAAGAGCAATACTTGTACCAAATTTTATATGGATATCTTAATTTAGTAATGAGTTATGCGCGTTTAAGTCATTTTCGGGAGGGGACCTTGTATGGGAGCTATGACCAATTATGGACCGATCGGGAAAAAATTTCGTAGTAATATTTCTGTATATAAGAGCAATACTTGTACCAAATTTTATATGGATATCTTAATTTAGTAATGAGTTATGCGCGTTTAAGTCATTTTCGGGAGGGGACCTTGTATGGGAGCTATGACCAATTATGGACCGATCGGGAAAAAATTTCGTAGTAATATTTCTGTATATAAGAGCAATACTTGTACCAAATTTTATATGGATATCTTAATTTAGTAATGAATTATGTGCGTTTAAGTTATTTTCGGGAGGGGACCTTGTATGGGAGCTATGTCCAATTATGGACTGATCCAAAAAAGTTTTTCTCTGGATCAATTCTGTTGACATAAGATTTTAATTTGTAAAATTTTGTAAAGATATCGACATTGTGACGGAAGTTATTAACAAAAAACTCATTTTCCGGGAATATGTACTTTTGTATGGGAGGTATATGAAATTGTGGACCGATTCTTACAATTTTCAGCAGGAATCAAGCTCTTATGCAGAAACGAATGTGTGGTTATTTTCATGGAAGTACCTTGAATAGTTTTCGAGAAAATTACATCAAAATGTGTAAAAAATGCTTATTTTTTTCGAGGTTGTTTTAAATTTTGATTCATAACTTTTCCCGGTGTGAACCGATTTTGCTCATTTTCAATACCAAACTGCTTAGGACAATAATGAATATTTTCGGTGAATTTGGTTGATTTTCGTTTTAACGTGAGCGTGTTTTATACAGACAGACAGACGGACATAGCTTAATCGACTCAGAATTTCATAAGGACCAAGAATATATATACTTTGTTGGGTCTCAGATGAATATTTCTCAGTTTTACAAACGGAATGACAAACTTATATATACCCTCTATCACCACTGATGGTGGTGGAGGTTATAAAAATTAAACTTTATTCAAATAATTTAATAAATTTAAACTTAATTGGAGAAATTTTTAGTTGGTCACATTACTATCACAATTACAATCCAACTAACCGGGAATAACCGTTATTGACGGTTAAGTTTTTTTCGGGTAATATACACAATTCCTTATTCCGCTTACTGACTTGAACGGTTCGATTGGTTCATTGGGTTCGGTTGAACCTTTTGAAGTAAGGCGCATTATACTGTTTTTTTCTCATTTGTTGGATGGCGTCATAATCACACAGACATACAATAGGTATTTAGGATGTGGAAATATTATTCGAATAAGTAAGTGCCTAAAGTCAGGTTTATTTCTTTTATATTTTTTCATACAAGTATTTTCTTTTAATACCAAATTCCCATACGAATATTATGTAGGTTCGGTGTGGTTTTTGTTGCTTCGTTATCATTCAATTTATATTATTTTTATGAAAACAATGAAAGTGTTCAATGACCAAGGTAATAAGGCAATTTAATATATGTTTGTATGTATGTATGCCATACAACTGGATGCATTCAACAAAGGGACAAAAAAATGCAGACACAACTTCATACATCCCATAATAATTGTAGGATGTGATGTCGGATTGGTCAGTGTTTTATTGTGGTCATAAAAATGTATTCTCCATATACTCCTCATGAAAACATGACATATTAACTATTATAGGAGTCACACATCATAACTGTCTGTCATCGCAAACATCTTTTTATTTTAGAATTGCAAATTTATTGTTTGTAAATATTTTTACTGTCGATAATTTAAAATAACGAATATAGGAAACCATATTAATTTATAAGAAACACTTTAAAATACTTACTTCTTCATAACGCATTCAATTAAGACATATCTATAACAAGATCATATACATACAGGGTGGTTAGAACCTACAATGAACCGAAGATATTACAAAATATATGCGCTAAGACTATAAGCTCCTCTATTCAAAAAAAATCGTTTAGAGGTGCTTCTACTCTATATTACACTTTCATAAATTTTCGAAACGGCACAGGTCATTTAAATTTTCAAACTTTAAGATTTCTTTTCCTTAAAATTTATTGAAATTTATAGAATATTTAATTTCATTTCCCAATATATTTTTTATTTATTTACATATGTAGATCACCATGAACTTTACTTACATCTATGCCGAAGATCCATTAAGAGAAAAACTACAGGGGAATATTACATGGCTAATTCCAGAATTTAATACACCGGCTCATTGGATGCATACCGAAGATATTTGTAAGTAAAAACATAATTAAATATGAAAGTTTTTATTCTTACTATTTATTAAATTAATTATTTCTAAACTAATTTTGAAAAAAATATTCCAAATTTTTGATAAAATAAATTGTTTGGAAAGCAAACTAGAGACCCTATTAACAAAAATAGTTGCTGATGCATTAATTCTTATAAAAATTACTATGTACATGTTTATTTATATGTATTTTCTAGATGAAGGCATTTATAATACTTATGTCTTAGATACCGATTACAAATCTTGGGGTCTTATAATGCATTGTGCAGAGAAAAAGAAGCATCCAAGATATTTATCGGCCTTATTACTATCACGAGAACCAACTTTGGGTGATAATGTAATAAATTTCTTAAGGTATATATATTTTAGAAAAAATATAAAACAAAAAATACAAGTTTTAATTGATAAATATTTTTTTAATTTTAGAGAAAAATTGCCACGCTACGATATAGATCTGTCATTCATGTTTCCCATCAATCAGACAGCATGTGATAATCTAATGGAATCATCACAAGACGATCCGTTGGCGTATATAGTGAATGGTCGCAAAAATGCTAAACAAATGTTTAAAGTTATATTAAAGAATTAATAAAAAAACAAACATCGAGACACTTTATTCAAAAAGTGCTAAGGGGGTTAGTAGTTTTTGAATATAGAGTCTCGATGTATTTTACAATTAGATTTTAAGTTAAAAATCTTAAATCTGAGATGTATATGTATTTATGTATATAAAATAAAGTTTGCAGTAATTTTTTCCAAAGATAGGATATGAAATTACTTATTTTGTATTTTACACGATTTCTTTCTTTTAATTAAAATTTTACATTCTTACATAAATCACTCACCACACTCTTTGTAAAAGCGAAAATATTTAATAAATATATGTTTCAAAATGTGATATAATCTATATATAAATCAAATAAATATTTTTAATATTTATAATGATCATACATTTTCTAATATTTACTTCTGATTTTGAAATTATAAATAACAGTTTCCATAAATATTGTAAGACATATTTTCTATGAGCTAACATCTCTAAAATACAGCCCTGTTTTGTTTTTATGCATTATCTTTTGTTCATTGCATTCCGATTTGCTCTATACAACCATCTCGCTCCTTACAGCCGTGAGAGAGAGGGAGAAAAATAAAAATGGCTTCAATTATACGTGCAGTGTAAATTTTAAGAAAAATTTTTAATTCTTTTTTTAATTAAGATTTAACAAATATTTTAAGAAAATTTTTGTTAATTTAACAAATTTAATATAAAACAATCATAAAGTGAATGTACGCATTAAGTGAAATATGAAATTTTACACAATAAATGAAAAAGAAAATTTTGCAAAATGTAAAAGTACCACACAACCATAAAAAGTGGAAAAATATGATGAAGAAAACGTATCGTAAGAAGAAGAATTTGTACGTACTACGTATTGTTCAATGGAAATAAAAGAAAAGGTTTTTAGGCCTTTTAAAGCCTAAACGAAGCATAATTTCTATAAAATATTTACAAAAAAACTGATATAATATCAAGATAAACTCGCTAAATTGTAAAAAAATGTGAAAATAATAAAATAAAAATTGCGCCAATAAGTAAAAAAGTTCATGAAAAAATATGTAAGCAGAGCTGTATTTTGTATGGTTCATAAAAGAAAAATACCAACAAACATTAAAAAAAAATCTCAGTTATGAATGAAAGAGTAAGAGAGCCAATAAAATTGTGTCAAGACAAAAACGAAATAGAAAAAAAATAAAAAAATTATATACAGAAAAGTTAATATTTAAAAAAAATATACATAATATTGTTAAAAATTAATAAAATTAATATAATTAAAAAAATATAAAATTATTGAAAATTTGTCTTTCTGCTATTCTTTATATTTCTCTTTCTATTCAGTTCCTTTTGGTGTTGTATTTGTTGATGACATAAACGAGAAATGTCTTTGAAATTGACGTTTAAGTGCATTGTTTTGGTTGGTGTTTTCTTTACAAAAATTTTAGGAATTTCCAATAATATCAACAAAGTTTATACCAAAAAGTGTTTATAATTTATTAATTTGATTTCATTTAGTTAATTCCTCAACAGTGTAATGGAAAATTATAACAAAAAGACATTAAACAAACTCAGATAAAAACGAAACAAAGAAATCTAAAAAAGAGAAAACCAAAAACATACAATTTGCAATATGTCACGTTGGAGTAAAAATATTTTGGTACCCTTGGATACCACCAAGGAAAGTGCCAATCGTCCAACGGTGGCTCGATCCATGGGTACCATGGGCAAGTGGGGAAAAATGGGTTTCACTTCTACCCGTACGTACACCATGTCGGTAATACCGGCAGCAGTAGCAGCGGCGGCTGCAGCCGTGGCAGCTAATAGTCCCCAAGAAAGTCCGGCATCACACAAAGATGATGAACACTCAACATCTGCACTGGAACCACCAAAACCCAGAAAATTTTTTAAATCTCGCAACACTACACCTCCGGAAGTTATAGCACAAATAATGCAGCAATTACCACGTCAATCGACATCACCTACACGAGATACATCCACAACAGTACCATCCATTTTAACAACACCTGTACGAGAACCTATAAAACTTAAAATACCCAAATCAAATTCTGCAGAGCGGAAGAAAAAAACAGCTAAAAAGAAACTCCCCAAAAAATCTGTGGATTCCTGCGATGATGAGCAGACCGAAACTACGGGTGAACCAAAACCTCCACCAGAGCCCAAATCGACAAAAAAGAAAAAGCCAGAGAAAGAACTCAAACCTGAAGCACCACCATCTCGTGTCCTGGGCCGAGCTCGTAAAGCTGTGAACTATTGTGAGGTGGACGATGATGATCGTACGCCTACACCTATAAGAGATATTATAGTGCCGAAAGATAAAAAGGTGGAGAAATTGCTCGAGGGCCAGGAGACACCTCCGCCTACACCGGCTCATAAAATAGATGATGTTTATGGTACTTGCGATACACCAGAACCTCAACAACCATTACAATTACCGCCACCAGCAGTACCGCAACAAATACCACCATCAATAGCATCCAGCCAACATCCAGTTAATGTAAATAGTGCAGCATCGAAAACACCTGAGCATCCTCCTATTGTCTTACGAATATCTAAGGTATTTTATTTCTAAAATTCATTCTTAAATAAAACTGTTGCAAACTTAATAATATGAGATAACAAATTTTAAGATAATAATTTATGGACAAATTACTTATAAAGTACTAAAAAAGCAGATTTGCATTTATAGGTAGTAAAGATAACATCCTAGTTTTCCCAGAGCTGGTCAATATTATCCCTATAAAATTTATAAATAAATACAAGTTTATTAGTAAAAAATAATAATTAAAACAGGAAAATGAATTGTATTACATTTGTAAGAAACAATAAACTTTGACATAAAATACATACATAAACCTTTTTGTAATGTTGATTTTTCCCATTCAACAACTACCCTATTAGAAAATAAAACAAAAATTAAAAAAGAGAAAATTGAAGAGAGAATAATAGTGATCGTTAGAAAATAACATTCTCATTTCAACGAAAAAATTTTACGCGCCTTTTTTTCTCACCTATATTTGAGTAGAATTGCCACATTAACTAAGAACGCTTTAGTACTTCAATTCGTCTGGCTGCCTCTGGTCTAATCTTATTGTTTGCTTTCACTATTTCAGTTCTAATTTGTAATTTCCCAGAAAATTTGTGATTATTGTTTAGAAAATTATTTTAAATAACGAGTGTGTAATATTAATTAAAAATTTTTCTTAATGAATCATTTGTAAAGATATTATTTCTAAATATGTTTGTTATTTTTTTTTTTATAGGGTACATCCCGCTTGGTTAGTACTGACAGTGAAGAACAACAGCCGAACGCTTCATGCACACCACCTTCCCAACACTCTGAAATAACAGCTAACGATACCCAGTCTACACTACCGTCTGTTAGTAAATCAAGACACTCTTCAGTGGAAGAAACGACAACTCCACCTGTGTTGACAACACCGAAGATTATAGTGAAACCTCCCAAGCCTCCTTCGCCTAAGCCGACGTCACCATCACACAACGAACGTGAACAAGAGGAGCAGGAAGAAGAAGAGGAGGAAGAGGAAGAAAGTGAAGAAGAAGAGGAAGTAGAACCACCAGAAATCAACTACTGCACAGTTAAAATATCGCCAGATAAACCGCCTAAGGAACGATTAAAATTGATAATAAAAACAGATGTCATAAGGAACGCTCTAGCTGCGGCCGCTGCAGCAGCTGCTGCTAAAGCTAAGAAAGCAAAACAAGCCGCTTCTACGGGCAATGATGGTTTAGAACGGCCGGAAAAGGAGAAAAAGAAAAGTAAAAAACACAAACATTTAAAACACGCAGCAGTCGAACAACTAGCAGCACCACCACAAAATTTAGCTGCTGAATTTAAAACACCTTCGCCACATTTATCCTTAAGTCAGACTAGCACGAATGATCCTCCACAAGTAGTAAACGCTACACAAGCACCATCCGCATCCGTCTCAACGGCCACCAGAACCGTAATATCACCACCCACACTATCGGAAAAGGATTTCGATTCGCAGTCCTCTGTTTTAGGTAGTATATCGTCTAAAGGCAATAGCACACCTTTGGCTGGCCTACAGCCGGCTGTCGAAGAAAGTTGTGTAATACACAGCAGAGGTTCTAGTGTAATTACTAGTGATCTGGAGACAAGCCAACATTCTTCACTCGTAGCACCACCCTCAGACATAGAATTAAGATTAGAATCCATGATGATGGATGGAGAAAGTAGTCAACAGCAAAGAGCTTCTAGTACGTTTGTCGAGGCAGAACCTCTGCAGGAAGACATATTGGCGGTATTACGAGGAGAAGAAACTACAGCAATGGAAGTTGAAGAACAACCAGATACAATAAAAGAGAATGGTATCATTGCTCCTAATGAAACAATAGAAACCCCAACAGCGGAACCGCCAACTGTAGACACTCATCTTACACCTACATCTACGATTGCAACGGGTAAACGAGTTACGAGGGGTAGAAATAAAACAAATTATGCAGAACCTGCTGATGTAGATGAAACTTCTACAGTTTCTCTACAAACTCCACGAACAAGAGGAAGAAAACCTGCAGCTCCACTACAGCAAACACCCATTGAGGAGCCGAATGTACAACCTCAGAAACGTACAACGAGACGAGGTAGAGGCAAAGTCGAAGACACCACTAATTCGGCAAATGTGGATGCTGTGGATCAAACGCCTAATGTAATTTTGGAAAAATCATCACCCCACAAGTCTGAAGAGGAAAACAATCCGACACCGGCGGCTATTGTGTCCACAACCAGAAGAGGTAGAACGACACGCAATAATGTCAATAACAGTAATGTTACAAATCTCAACAACAATAATATCAATAAAATTGCCGCCAATCTAACAGCTAAAGTCAATCAGCAAGAAATACAAAAAATCTCCCCTACGGATTCCACCACAACGCCTTCCACACAACGTAGTTATAGTCGTAAGCGTAAAAATCAACAGGTTACACAAGTCTTGCAGCCCTCCAGCCAAATGGACGAACTGGAAGATAACCAACAGCCCACACCCGCCAAACAACCCAATTTGGATTTGCCTTCTAACGATAATAATGATACTCAAATTATACCCCTGCAGCCGTACTCTGATAATCGCTTAACACCTTCTATCGATCTGCAAGAAAATAATTCCGTAGACTCTTCTTCACTACAAAGGCCGGAGAGTAGTTT